GTGTGTCTCTGTGCCCTGTGATGGCCTGGAGTCCTGTCCAGGGTGTGTGTGTGTCTCTGTGCCTTTGATGGTCTGTGTCCTGTCCAGGGTGTGTGTGTCTCTGTGCCCTTTGATGGCCTGGAGTCCTGTCCAGGGTGTGTGTGTGTCTCTTTGCCCAGTGATGGCCTGTGTCCTGTCCAGGGTGTGTCCTGCCTTGTGCCCACTGCGGTCCTGTATTGGACAAAGTGGTTATTGAGAGCAGATGGGTGAATGGGGGCTCCCACAGGTGTCTGAGGTCTCTGTTGGTCTGGTTACTGGGGTCGTCTGAAAGAGGGTGTGGCGCTCACAGCCCTTCTAGAGCTCAATTTCTAAAGGAGGACTGGAGTGCCTGTCCTGATGTAGGTTTGTTTGCTGAAATGTTGACAATTGTTACATAAAATCAATTTGAAATAGAGTGTCTGTCCATCCGACTTCGCTATTTTAATCTTTTTATTTTCTGTACAGTAGCTCAGTGATTACTTTATGTGATTTTTACAACCAATTAGGTTTTTCACCAGTTTAAGGTTAAGTGACATCCAAGAAAAGGTTTAAGTGTTTGTAAGAAATAATCAACTGTATTTTTCAGTTTCTCATAATAAAATTTCAAATTTAATCAAAACAGACCTAAGCACTGCTTAGTCTGCCACTGGGAGGATCCTCCGAGTCTGGATTTTATTTAGAATACATGTTCTACTCAGGAAGAGGCCTTGGAAACTTCCACTCCGCTCAGAGCACCTCCCAGTTTCAGTTTTCAAAGACTGCAGGTTTTACCAGAAGCTCAGTAAAACACTTTTTAACTTGGGAGAAATGTTAATGTTTGAGAACCACGCTTAATTAGGAGGTTGTACAAGACATTCCTGGGATTTTGTTCATTGCAGAGTAACTGATTTAGCGTTTCTGTTCATGCTCATGGATTTGCAAGGACACTGCAAAGAATTCATGTGTGTTTGCTCTGGTTGTTTAATTGATTTTTTTAAAGATGTTGACTCCACTTGTGAGCTTCAAAAGGTTTATTCTCCTTGATTTAGTGTAAAATATTTGTGGATGGGGGGAAAATGCAGAAAGAATGGATTAGCTGCTTGTTTTGAGCCTTAATGTTTGCTTTTACTAGCTGTTATAAATATCATCATAATTCCTGACATTTGCATGATGTCTTTCATTCCAAAAGATCCCAAAGCACTTTACATATAAGACAGGACCCACCTCAT